AACACAGATTTTATATACATACATTGGATAAACATATTACGGAAAGTTGGGTTGTTTTGGGAAGCTTGATGCCTTGACCCAAGCCCAAGACAAAGTGGGTCTACCATTGCTTTTGTTATCTATATTTTTATCCAAGTCATATTAGAAGATATTCTTGTCACTTATTTTGCAGAAAATATAGACACGTGGGAGAGAAAGAGCAAGAATGGTATTTCTATACACCAAGGGATCGAAAATATACAAAGGGGAATGAGCCAAATCAATCTACAACCAATGGATACTGGAAAGCAACTGGTGCAAACAAAGATATCAAGGATGGGAATGGAATGAACATTGGTGTTAAAAAATCTTTGGTCTTTTATAGAGGATTAAACCAAAGAGGAACAAAAAGTAATTGGGTCATGCATGAATACTGAATTAAAGAACATCACGGGGCTATAAATGATGAACTGATTCACATGAAGGTATGTAAATTTGGACTATGTCATGCATATACACCATATATGCCCATTTTTTCAAATTAAAGACTATTAAATAACTAAGTACAACAAATATAAACACATGATGAACCAACCTAGAATTTAACCAAATAATTTCCACTCATCAGATATTTAGATTTGAGTATATGGGTGTATGTTTTTGTATAAAGTTAGATGACTCAAACTGGTAAAATTTAGGAAATTAAAATGTCATCCACTTAACTGGACTCAATTCAACATGATTTGTTGTATATATTTTTGATAGATTTTAGGCTTTTGTAATTTACTTTCAATGTCTGGTGGCCTTTGTTAACTGCTGAAACGAGGGCTAAAAGTAGAATGCTGAATAATGAAGTAATATATATATATATATATATATATATATATATATATATTGGGATGACTGTTTACCCCTAAAAAGTTTAAGATAAATTATTTAAATCCCTAACTTAAGGCATTTTGAGTTTGTAATATTTTTTATCATTCCACTTTTACCACCTAACATTGTTCAGATTCAACAGACTTGAATCAAGTCAAATTATTAGGTTTTAAAAAATACATTTATCTGTTCATTAAAGCCATAATTTTTTTTAAGAATTTGCATTGGAAAACACATCTTCATGGATGCTTATTTCCTCATCTAATAAATGTTTCTTCCTTCTTTAGATGGACGATTATGTATTATGCAGGATATATGAGAAGAAACGTGGTGATTCCAATAGGATTAATGCCCCTATAGTTGAAGCTAATGAAAGTGATGAAGTTGAGATTGATGTTGAAGATGAATTTGAAGTTCAAGAGGAAGAGAAAGATCAAGGGCAAGGTGCAACAGCAAATAGAGAGAAAGAAGGCATGAATAAAGCTAGTGAAGGTGTAGACAGAGTGGAAAATGGCATATCTCAAGTTAATGTGGGTGTAGAAGAGGTGAAATAAGACATATTTGGAGTCATCGCCCACATGATGAATTCTGGCTTTGATAGCTTCTTGCCTCCCCCAGGCTTTTTTCATTCCAATGAAGATTACCTTACTTTCGGTGCTCTAATCCAAGAACAGAAGAACCCTAGCTTGGACTTCAGCAACTCACCCAAGCCTTCAGACACATATGGCTCTAATAACACAAATGGTGACAATTTACATTCGAGCCAATATTCGACATACGCCTCATTTTACATAGGCAATGAGTTTGCACCAGCTCCAACAATGTATTTCCAAGATCTTCTTCTAGCAGGCACCTCATTTAATAATGGCAACAATTTTGTACTAGCTCTAACAATGCCCATGCAGAGTCTTCCTCCAACTCCAGAATACACGTCATTTAACATGGGCAATATTTTTGCACCAATTCTAGCTATGGCCTTGCCAGTAACCTTTAACTTCCACAACTATATATCTCTCTCTCTCTCTACCTATCTATCTATCTCTCTATCTATTCATCTCTATCTCTCTCTCTCTTTCACTTTCTTATTCTACCACAAAGATATTGTTGTGGTACCGTTGCAAATTTGAGTAGCTTATACACCTGACAGCAACACCACAAACCAAGTAAGATGTAGAACCTTCAAACTTTGTTAATAGCCCAACCTCTGCTTTTTGGTTATTGGTTCCTATGGCTATCAAAAATTGATTTAAGTATATTTTCAAGRAGCCAAATCTCAGAGTTTCAAGAATCACCCTTAGACATGAAAATGGAGTGACAGTCTCCTATTGTTGCTTTTAAGAAACAAACTTACCAAATTCAATTGATTGGTAAGATGGTTTTTTCCTTGTTGAATGAAGAATGTTCTCAAAATTTGTTGTATGTCATAATTTCTTTAATGAACCACTGAAAACAGTTTATATCAAAATATAATTACTTTTGTTTATTGGACACATACATAAAAGCAAATCCCCTTAGCTGGAATTCAACAACAAACTAGTGACATGTTGTTCTAGGAGAGAGAGAGAGAGGAGGAGGAAGGAGAGGGGAGAGGGTAGACGCAATGAGACGTGGGAAAGGCGGACAAGAGGAAGAAGGAGGGGATTAGGGTAGAGAAAAACATAACAAAATAAAACAAATATAAAAATTYTAAACAATTCTCATCATTATCCACTAGAGGAACTTATGCATGCGAATGACCCTATTCATGTAAATCTAATGTATACTCATTTCATTGGCCCCATTGCCCGCTTAACAGCGTGGATCAGAACTCCATTAATTTAAGGTTGAATTCAAACCTAAATTGTGCTCAGGTTTTTATTACATGACTACTTTGTGGAATCATTTTGCCCTTCTCCATCAATTCAATTAATGGGAGAGTGTGTGGGTAAAATGTTGGAATCGGAAAGTTCAGGGCTCTTTGAAAAGCATATGAAAGTATCAAAGGCTAAGGTATCATTGCGTAAAGTAGAAGGTGGTAATATGTAAAGTTACCCAAAAGGTCAGGAATTTCATAGAGTTGCTTAGCTTAGAACAAATCTCATTGTCCACTCGACCTTTAGCATACTACGTTCCCATGGAAATATATTATGCTTATCTCAGTTTAAAAAACTTTATTATGGTTGAGTTCATTGGTGTCATAGTGAAAGCGAAAATCATAAATCATGACATTTGATCTATTGCAATGGCCGCACCAAGAAATCAGTTCACCAAAAATGACATTTCTTCTCTCTTGTGAGATTTGGAGTTTATTTGTTTTTGTGATTCGTGGGGATGTGCTACCCCCAGGATTGTGTAGCACCTTCGGTTTTCATAAAAAAAAAGTGGAGCGATGACAACACTAAGACCAAATGTAGTTTGGTTATAGTTTAAGCCATGGAACTAGCCTACATTGGTCAAAATTCTCCATCTTTCCTAGGGGTGCAACTCGGGTGGGTTGGGTCAGATTTATAGTCAACCTAGGCCCACCCCTTAGATTTTGGCCTGAGGCCGAGCCTAAACTAAGGTGGAGGTCAAGCCCGATCTTACCAACCTAAGCCCAACCCACATAGTAATTTGATGCACTTAGGTTGAACTTGAGTTTAGGCCGATCTTGGGTTGGTTAATGAATCCGCACTAAAATTATACATGAATTTATGCATTTATGCAAATATATAGGGCAAATTTCTTAAAGTACCCCCAAGTTTTTTAACAATTGACATCTCCGTTAAGTACTAATGGAAAAAAATGAAATGTTAAATTTGCCCTCCACTATTCATCAAAATTTTCAAAATAAAACCCAACTGTTAAAAATTCCAATAAAACCCACTTAATATTATAATATATTTATAATGACAACTGTGACATCTCACAAAAGTAGTCGGCTATGTGATTCAAGATCGCTGAAGTGATTTGAGAAACGCCAATTTAACAATCAAGAAACCCCTTATTTCCCAAATTCTAAAGCTAATCATTACAAAATCGTTTTTTTTTTAGAAACAAGATTGCCAAATGTAATTCTTTTTTTGCAAATTTCGTTTATTTGCTAATGTAGTGGATACGACACATCAGTAGAAAAGAAACGCTTGTGAAACGCACTGGTGCCAAACACCCACTATATTTGATGAAAAATCTGGAAAGTCCTGATACGCTTTCACTCAGCTACGAAATCAACTTTTTGGTAAAGTTAATTTTAGAAGCTTCTTCGATGTATCTTAATGAAATAGCTCAATCAAAACTCAAGCCCTCCCAAATGAGCTAAAACAGAGCAGTTTCCAGCTTTCCAACATAAATCCTATTCCCATATGGACAACCCAAGGTTTTTAAAACCAGACCGGACAACGAACCGGTCAGGGGTTCGATTCTTGGGTTGAACGTTTAACTGTTCAAACCGAATGGATGGCCCATTCAAACAAAGAATAAAAAACAATCAAAACCATTGAATGGTTTGAATGGTTCAATCGCTCGGGTCAGCGGTTTGTTGACCAAATCAACGTTTTTTGGCAAAAATCTGGTTTTGGTGAAAACAGTAATCGGTAACCTAACCGGTTCCTAATTTTTCTGGTCCGACCATCCGGTCTGGTCCGGTTTTGAAAACAATGGGACTGCCTACAACTTATGTTTGTTGAAAAATTCAAAGAGCCCATATCTATCATCAGTTAGTCATTTGAACTCCAAAGGGTTGGGTGCTTCAGCCTCATTGAGTGACTTACCTGAAGCACTTCAAAGCAGCTAAATCCACTTCAGCCTTCCCAAACGAGCCGGAATGACTCATGATCAGGTCTGTTCGAGTTGAATTAGGGCCTTAGGGGTGTCGTTCCTATCAAGCCAGCCCACAATATCTTGGATTGGTCCAAGGGTTCCCATACAGGCCCATCCCAGCCCACAATTAATGTTAGACCAATTCATTAGGGAGTGGGGGAGGGTTACAAAAGTAACCTTATCGTATTAGGACTCTTAAAATATAACGAACCAAGTCAGAAACAACGTAGAACTCCTAGTCAAATTAATGTTTAGTATCATACTCTATTTATTATATTAAATAAGATCAATGTTTGATTTCTTTCTCTATCATCTCGTTACTATTGTTTATTTTGACTCTTTTAGTGAAAGGCAAGAGAATTACGATGGAAAGGAGGCCATGGAAAAACGGTGAATCGCTGATACTTCCACTAGGCTTCAAATTTGTACCCACTGACGAAGAATTGATAGCCTATTACTTGGCTGAAAAGATGAGAGATCCCACTCTAAAAATTGATATAATCACTGAACTCAACATCTACCAATTTGACCCTGAGCAGCTTATAGGTACGTAGCTTTCTTTCTTTGTTACGTTTTTTTCTTCCTTCATTCTACTTTTTTTTTTTTTTTGTGTCTATTCCTGTTGGTTGTTCTTTATATCGATCATCGCTAACATTGTCCTGTTTAATTTTGTTCTAAAATTTGAAAATCATGATGTGGGTATCGTCTAAAAGTAGGTAAAAACAAAAAAGAAAAAAGAAAATCAAGAATGAACCAGCCTTTGTTTGGATGGTTCTTTCTTTGTTCATGTTCTGGGTTCTGTTTAAAAGTTTTTAATCTTCGAACCTTAGTAGCTTGAAGATGTGGTTTTGGGATTTTGTGAAGATGGTTTTGAGAGGCTTCTACTGAAACTAGGGAAACCAAGGATGATTCGATGCTTCCCATTAACGAGACGCTGCTATCTGCTGACCCAGAATTAAGGATAGATTTGCTTAGTAGGATAGATTCCAAGCCCAACCGAGCTGCTCGAAATTCAAGCTTCCACCTTCCAGCACTGACGAACAAAACCTCCTAGTCGTTTTGCAATACTCAAGATTTTTATATAGAGCCGAAAACAGCACAGCCCAGGAAATTAAGCCAGCACATTCTGTTACAAGCGTCACAGACGACAGAAGGAAAAGAAACTTCCGTCTCAGTCTGACCATCAGACTGCAGCAGTTTATCGTTTCTCCACCGCCACAACTCCTTAACCCAACGAAGGCTGTTAAGAACAATAACGCCTCCTGGGATCTGGTGGGCTGGTTCCTGAAAACATGAAAACACTAGGCACTAGCTTTGCAAMTATTTCAACAGGATATAGCCAAATACGGAGTTTGTTCATCACCACCCCGTCGTGTTGAATCAGAACCTTTGTTTTATATTTAAGGTTCAGTTTGAAGGAGTACAAATACAAATTTGTAGAAAAATAAAACTTTGTATTTTTTTCTTATTTGTGAGGTGAGAGAAGGTTATTCAGGCGCGAGAGAGAGAGAGAGGAGTTTTCAGACTTTCTGGGGATTGACATATTTAACGGAAAGAAGCTTGAAGATGTTGTCTTGGTATTTCGTGAAGATGGTTTTGAGAGGCTTCTGACTGAAACTGGGGAAACCAAGGATGATTCGATGCTTCCCACTGACGAGACGCTGCTATCTGCTGACCCAGAATCAATGATAGATTTGCTTAGTAGGATAGATTTCATGCCCAACCGATCTGTTCGAAACTCAAGCTTCCACCTTCCAGCACCGACGAACAGAACCTCCTTATAGTTATTTTGCAATACTCAAGATTTTCATAGAGTCGATAACCGCACAGCCCAGGAAATTAAGCCAACATTCTATTACTACCATCACAGACGACCCCCCAGCCAAAGAAACTTCCCAGGGCAGTTCCATCTCAGCCAAAGAAACTTTCAGAACTGTCCTGAGAAGGAATGAGAAGCTATCCTCTAATTAGGGCTGCCACACCGACAATTTGACATCCAATCCGATTATTTGGATTTGGATATTAAAATTTGCATCCATTTAGTAATAGGATCGGATGGCAATTTGAGTCCAAGCAATGCCATAAAATTTTGAGTCAAGTTCATATAATCTTCATAATATATAACAGGCCAAAGTGAGTCTATCATTACTTTTGTTATTTATTTTTTATCTAAGTCATATTAGATGATATTCTTGTCATTTATTTTGCAGAAAAATATAGACACACAAGTGAGAAAGAGCAAGAGTGGTATTTCTTTACCCCAAGGGATCGAAAATATCCAAAGGGGAACAGGCCAAAGCGTTCTACAACCAATGGATACTGGAAAGCAACTGGTGCAGACAAAGATATTAAGGATGGAAATGGAGAGAACATTGGTGTTAAGAAATGTTTAGTCTTTTACAAAGGATTAACTCAAAAAGGAACAAAAACTAATTGGATCATGCAAGAATACAGAATTAAAGAACATCAAAGGGCTATAAATGATGAATCGGATCACATGAAGGTATATAAATCTGGACTAATGTCATGTATTTACACTATATATGCCTAGTTTTTCAAATTAAAGAGTATTAAATACCTAAATACAACAAATATAAAAAATGTGATTTTTTATTTATTTTGAATCGGTTAACCAACCCAAAATTTAACCAAATAACTTAGACTCATCAGATATTCAGATTTAAGTATATGGGTGTATGTTTTTGTATAATACAGTAAGATGACTCAATTAGGAAATTAAAATTTCAACCACTCAGCTAGATTCAATTCAGCATGATTTGTAGTATATACTTTGATAGATTTTAGGCTTTTGTAATTTATTTTTCAATATTGGGTGGCCTTTGTTAACTGTTGAAACAGGGGCTAAAGGCAAAATGCTGAAAAGATTACAAATTTAAAAATGTATAATTCAGTATTTAGCAACTTTAAACCTAACTAAATTGCTAAATAATGAAGTAAAAACTATTGGGATGAGTGTTTACCCTAAAAATCATACCATAAACTAATAATATTCACTAGTTAAGCCATTTTATGTTTGTAATCTTTTCATCATTCCATTATCAGCACCAAACATTGTATAGATTCAACAGACTTTTGAATCAAGTCAACTCTTAAGTTTTAAAAATACATTTATCTATTCATTAAAGGCATGTTTCTTTTAAGTATTTGCAATTAATGAAAAACACATCTCTATGAATGCTTCTTTCCTCATCTAATAAATGTTTCTTCCTTCTTTAGTTGGACGATTTTGTATTATGCAAAATATATGAGAAGAAACGTGGTAATTCCAATAGGAACAATGCCTCCACAGTTGAATCTTATGAAAGTGATGAAGTTGAGGTTGATGTTGAAGGTGATGGGTTTGAAGTTAAAGAGGAAGAGAAAGGGCAAGGACAAGGTGAAGCAGAAAATAGAGAGGAGGAATTTATATATCAAGCTAGTGAAGGTGCGAAGAGAGTGGATAATGGCATATCTCAAGCTTATGTGAGTGCAGAAGAAGTGAAAAAAGACATATTTGCAGCCATCAACCAGATGATGATTTCTGGCTATAATAGTTACTTGCCTCCCCTAGACCCCTTTAATTACACAGACGGTGAATTGCACTCAAGCCTTTATTCGACATACACCTCATTTTACGTAGGCAATGAGTTTGAACCAGCTCCAACAATGCATTTCCAAGATCTTCCTCCAACAAGCACATCATTTAACATAGGCAATAATTTTGTACCACCTCGAACAATGCCCATGCAGAATCTTCCACCAACTCCAACATACACTTCATTTAATATGGGCAACAATTTTGCACCAACTCCAACATACACATCATTAAATATGCAGAGTCTTGCACCACAATATGGGATGCCAATACAGAATGTGGATCAGCGTTCTAAGCATATGAGCAAGAGACAAAGAAACCCTTGAGATGGAGATACAATGTTGTTTTTCTGTTTATTTACTTTTGGAATAGGTAGTTGATTGCACATTAGATGAATTGTATAGTTGATATTTTACCTTCTAATGACTATTGCAATACTCACTCACTGTCTTATTAATTCAAGGTTGAATTCAAGCCTATTTGTTTAAATTTGATTATCCCTGCTTTGTGGGACCATTTTACCCCTTTTATTATATATTTGTACAATCCCTTTATTCATATAAGGAAAGGGCGTTTTAGTAAATTAACTTTCTCCATCAATTGAATTCAATTAATGAGTGAGGAGATAGAGGGGTGAAATGTTAGAATCTGAAAGTTTAGTTTCCTACCCACGAAAATTAATTATGTTTGTCTCAGTTTGAAAAACTCTGTTACGGTTGAGTTCATCGGTATCGTAGCGCCGGGGCTACAACCAAAAATCATAAATCATGGCCTTAGATAGACCTATTGCAGTGGCCGCACAAGAAATCACTTCATCGATTTCAAGGTGGGAAGATGACAGCGCTACGGCCAAGTGTGGTTTGTTTACGGTTTAAGCTATGGGAAATTCTCCATCTTTGGCTCCCGCCCGAAGCAAATCCATCTCTCTCCTCAAGCAATCCCACGCTCAGCTTGTCAAGTTATCTACACCCTGTAAGGCTGTAACCTCAGTCTCATAGCCAAATTGATCGCCTCTTACGGAAAGTTCGGGGACTTGGAATCCGCCCTTTTTGTCTTGGACCGATGTCCGCAATATCCAGATGCGTTTCTCTTCAACTCACTCATGCAGGTTCACATCTGCGGCTCCCTCTTCCGACAGACAACCATATTGTCCTCCGTGCGACAGAAACCAAATCCCCCATGCTGCACGAGAATTTGTTTGTGAAAGTCATCAATGATAAGAATAGCTTTACAATGCCTTACCCTAAAATTTCAAGGTAACCTCAAACAATCTCAGGGAAGATGAGAATGCTTGTAAAGCAACCCTAAAATGATAACCATGCCTATGGAGTATTCTCTACTAGTAGTTTTGAGTTATTTCTATCAGTCCAATTGAACCAAAAACAGTTGAGGTTTATTGCGTAGTATTTATTACATATAATAGACAAATCATGGTCACATCTAATTCAATTTTTATATTCATGTTAGTCACATGATTGAATTTCTTTTTGGACAATGGACTGAGTATGGTCATGCTTGATGCTGCCAAAGTTTGATCTTGGTGCTGATATCAGTCAAAAGGATGCCAGATGACACCTATTATGTGCTTGGGTTTAAAGACCTCCTATTATATTATATGGGCCAACCCTCCTTAATCTAAATCCATTGTATCTCTCAGCCCTCAATTGCTTGCTTCACTCACCTCCACTCTGCAGAATTCACCCTTTGCCTTTCTTAGAAAAGAACTTTTCTTAGATCAGGACTCTACTGCTATGTGCCTAGAGTTTTATCCATCAAAATGGTTTTGTGCCCTTCTTGGTTCAACCCATTTAAATGAATTGTTGTAAGCAAAGTAACAAATTTTTGGGCTTCTATATGGACTCTAATTTTCCCATCTTTTTAAAGATTCACATGGATTCTTGTATTTTGCCCATTCAAATATCCTCATGCATTAAACAAAATATGATTTTATGTGGACTTCTAAATGGACGTTATTTCATTTCAGCTCATTTAAATGATCAATATGAATTGAAGTATTTTAAAGTTCTTCTTGAGCACTGCATCCCTAAGCCATTTTTTGGCCCACGATGCTCCAAGGGGGACACTGTCGTAGCCTCAACGTTTGCTGGATGAGACAGGTATTAAGCTACATGTAATCGCAGCTTATAAAATTCTTTATTTTGGGTCATTCATCATGCAGGCCCAATTGTACAAATAATCTTGTGATAATTTATGAGAAATGAGCTTGCAGTAGTCCAATTCACTGGCTCGATTATTAAACGAGTCGAGCTCGAGTCTACTAGAGCTTGGTGGCTCGCGAAGTTCGCAAGCCGGCTCGAATATATAATAAAAATATTATAATTCTTAATTTTTTAAATATCAAATAAAAAATATTTTTATACATAATTTTGTATTTTTATAAAATATTTGTTCTCAAAATTGAGCTCGAGCCTAATACTATTCGGCTCAGCTCAGCTCGAATCCACCCCTACTTGCAAAACAATGTATTCTCAACAGAATCAAAAGGTTGTCTCTACTCCTAATGGAGATATAACTAAGGGAATTTTTATAAGGCATCCTAAATGCGGGCTATCTAATTACTAAAAACCCAGTGACTTCCCTAATTGGGTTAACTTTTTTTTTTTTGGCTACTCTGATTGGGTGAATTACATAAGGTGGGAAAGCAACCAATTTTTTTCCAATAACACTGCAGTACACTTTCTAGCTACCAATTTTTTTTTTCTCAATAACCTTTTTTGGTAAATATCTAGAGGATCTTTCTAGGTGATCATTTTCATTTTTTGGATAAGTGAGGAATCAATACATGAAAAAATAGAGAGGAAAAGAACAATAAAATATTTCACATTGGAAAGCTGCTCAGTAACTTGCAGTCTGTATGATATAGAAATCCTTGAATTATATATTACAAAAATTGGTCCCAACTCTTCAATCAAGAAACTGTGAAATAATTGTGTGCACCAACAATCTGTTTGCCAACATTTTCTCTGCTACTTGGGTCTATGAACATCTGTCTTTAATGTTATTGGATAATCTGATAGGCTATTTTTTAGCAGTTCGGATCTCTTACCCACACCTCACTACAGCTGCACATTGAGAATATCTCCCATATTTGCATGTTACCTGTTCATGGAGAGATATTCCCAATGTACAGCTGTAGTGTCTTGTGGGTAGGAGATCTGAATTGATTTCTTAGATGGTTAAGGCCACGCTTGGAGTACTTTTTGGCCTAAACAAACTTCTGAAAAAGTCATTTTTTTAGATGTGCTTTTGAAAAGTCATTTTTTTACTATTTGGCTACTCATTGGCTTTTTGTTTAATTCTAATGGGGCTTTTTGCATAAAAAAAAAGCCTGTTTTGAGTTTTTTTGCCTTTTTTTTCACTAGCTTTAATTTTGGCTTCTCCAACATAAAAAGCACAGAAAGCCTGTTGGAGCACTCCCAAACGCATTTTAAGATAAATAAATCAGTGTTTCTATAGTAGTATGAGATTTCCTTGCTAATTGAAACCAATAGGTCGTTCTGGATTGTGTTCACAGATGAGGGCATAGGGCTTGACTAACTAGAAGGTGGATGGTTTCCTCTGGGACTGTTTTATTGTTTACACTATTTATTAATATTTAATTGATGTTAGTAATTTTTATTAATTTATACAGGCAAGTGGATTCATTCTTGGGTGATAAAGAGTGGATTTGGTGCTGATGTTGTCATTTCTACTGCTCTTTTGGGGACGTGTATGCAAATTCTGGTGACTTCTGGTTGACTAAGAAAGTGTTTGAAGAAATGCCTATGAAAGATTTCATTGCTTGGAATTGCCTGATTTCTTGTTATGTCCAAAGTGGGATGATAGATGATTCCTTTAAATTGTTTAAAAAAAATGCAACACAGTGGATTGAAACCGAATGGCTCTACTTTAGCTGGAATTTTACCTGCTGTTGGTCGTGTTGGTGCACTCCATTTGGTAAGATCCTGTCATGGTTTTGCCATCAGGAATGCTTTGGACTTGGATGAGTATGTAATGACTGCTTTGATGGATGCTTTTGCCGAATCTAGTGACTTAGTTGCTGCCCGGAGGCTGTTCAATCTCATTCCTAATAAAAAAAGTATTGTTGCTTGGAGCTCCATGATTGGTGGATATGGCACCCATGGTTATGGGGCTGAGGCCGTCATGTTGTTTGAGAAATTGCAAGAAAATAATATCTAACCTAATTACATCACCTATGTCGGAGTTTTATCAGCGTGTGCTCAAGCTGGACTTGTCAAAGAGGGTCAAGGATATTTCCGAAAGATGGTTGATGACCATGGCAGCATCCCACATCCGCAGCACTATGCTTGTATGGTGGGCATGTTTGCACGTGCAGGGCTTTTGGATGATGCAGTGTCTTTGATTAATCAAATGCCCACTGAACCATCTCCAGGCATATGGGGTGCAATATTGTTGGGTGGATGCAGGATCCATGGCCATGTTGAGTTTGGTAAATTTGCTGCTGAGCGGCTATTTGAGTTGAACTCTGTAGATCCAGGTTTCTATGTCTTGCTGTGAAACATATATGCAGCTGCTGGGATGTGGTCAGAAGTACGAGAAATAAGGGGTTTAATGAGAGAAAAAGGAGGAAACCAGCAGGCTGGAGCTCAATTGAGATAGGTAATAAGGTTCATTGTTTCATCTCCGGTGACATGTCCCACTCAGATTCTGATAAAATATATCAGAAATTAGAGGAATTGATGGAAAGAATCAGCAGAGTTGGATATACTCCTGAGACTAAAGTTGTCTTACATGATGTGGAAGCTGATGTGAAGGGAAATGTATTGAGGAGTCATAGTGAGAAATTGGCCATGGCTTATTGCTTGCTAAAAGCAGCACCTGGTACGCCCATTAGAATAATGAAAAATTTTCGAACTTGTGAAGATCGACATGCTTCTGCAAAATTCATATCAAAGATCACGAGCTAGAGAATTTATCTTGAGGGATGCCGTCAGGTTTCATCATATGAAAGAGGGAGTGTGTACAAGCAGGGATTATTGGTAAATCTGTACAATATTATAAAAAGGTAACCAGTCCTGATCTGCTACACTTGATACACTCTACTCTTGGCTGTTTTAGCCAATGCAAAAAAGGCAACATCATCTCTACATACTCATGGCCCAAAAAAAAAGGGAATAGTAATGCGGAGATGCACTTGAGCAGCTCTCATATGGACAGTTTGGGAATAACTGAATGCAAGAATATTTAGGGAGAAAGAAAGATCAAAAGAAGCAATTATGGAGTGTATTACAGTAAGAATGGTTCATTGGTTAAAATCAATGGAAGCCTTCTCACTCTTTCCATTAGGTGATATAAAGTTGAGGGCAGGGGATTCAGAAGCAGTGGGATCCACCATTTAAAAAGGTGTTGTTAAACTTATTTTGATAGTAGCATGGAAATCTGGGGCCACCGGGAGTAGGAAGGGTTTCCAGAAATCAAGGGAAGAAGATAGAAATGCTCTCAGGCCTGATGGGAGTAGGAGACTCTAAGGGTAGAAATCATGGCAGTAATACAAGGGTCTCCTGTGAACAAGAGAGCTGAAAACAGAAAGATTAACTATTGAAGGTGATTCGGAAGTGGTTATTAGTTGATTGAGGAACAATGAAAATGCTGTGTGGGCTTGCAGGAATGAAATAAAACAACACAGGTGGTTGACTAAGGAGGTTCAACTTAAAATAAATCGGGTTCAAAGATGATGCCTAAACAACACAGGGTTGGGTATAAATCAGTTTTTTTTCTGGGCAAAATGGCAATTCTATGTTAAGGAGATTGAGTACAGATGCTCTCTAAAAGGTGTATGTACTATGTATATATTTTCTGTTTATGAATAAAATCTGGTTGTTACTTATAAAACAAATAGAGAACATAACCTTCTTCCTTTTCCCCCTTCTCTCCTCTGCTTCCGCCATCATCCCCTTTTCTCCTCTCACCAGTCACTGGTAGCCGCCACCACTGCCAGATGAAAATGCAGAAGCAAGAATCGTTCAATGGGTATTTGTGGCATTAATTTCTCCTTCGGGATTGTAATTTGGAGCCCAACCGAGGTCAACAGCTAGGTTCTATCTCAACATCACAGCGAAAGGGACATGGCTGGAAGCTGATGATGCACAATCCGGCCGATCTTAGCTRTCAACGATCTTGCCTCTGAACTG